GTGATATTTTGGACGGACATGCGTGTAAAATGAAAGGTGACAGGTCGACCCTGGAAACAACCCTGATTGATGTTTCATTTGTTTGGTGACTTGGTCCCTCCAGGCTGTACAGGCTGAGGAGCAACCACAGGATCTCTGTGGCTGCTGCCTCCAAGCTGCTGTGCAACATGATGCTGGGCTACAGAGGCATGGGCCTCTCTATGGGAAGCATGATCTGTGGATGGGACAAAGAGGTGAGCTGTGCCTTTGAGTCTCTGTGCCAAAACAAACCAGAATCCTTTTTCTTCCACTTCCTGTGAAGCAGAGCCTGGAAATAGAAACGTCCTCGCTGCACTAGAGGATTGTGAGGTTGTTTTCTGAGGCAGAATGTTTAACGTGGAGGTTTTATGCTCCTGCTGCTTTATTTATATTCAAATTCATCATTGTAGAAACTTTACAGTCACTTGTCAACATGTGAAGTAGCTCTAGTTCAACAGGCCCACGTTTAGTTTTGGACCTACGGCATCGAACCGGTTGGCTTTTCTTTGCCGGTTTGCATCCTTAATTTAACAAGTTACTGTGAGGAACTTTTCACTGGATATGATCAAATCAATACTGAATCCTCTGCATGACCTCCATCACTAAACCTGCCCAGCAAGTAAACAAAGGTGATCCAAACAGGGAGGAGGGTTGATGCTGTGGAAAAGGTTTGCATGGATTAACACATGTGACATGTGGGGACTGGAAGGGGCTCTCAGGGAGCAGAGCCACCGTGGACAGGTCCTATCACACAATGTTAGTGACAGTAAGAAGGAATCACTTACACACAAACAAGTATCCACTACATGTCAGTATGACACGTGAATACAGAAACCACCTGCTGGCATGTGCCTCTAAATGCATCCATTAAAGTAGCCTATAACATCTGTAAGGAGGAGGAGAGAGCAGCTCATTTAAACCTTTAAAATATGACCCAAAATGACCATTTACTAAATCTAGTGTTGGTCAAATATCATCAGCAGCTTGTGTTCCGTGACTCAGGAACAGCTGCTGTGTCTGAGATGCTGATTTCCCCAGCAGACCATCGGGTGTCTTTGTGTCTCCAGGGTCCCGGTCTGTACTACGTGGACGACCGAGGGACGCGTCTGTCCGGCCGCATGTTCTCCACCGGCTGTGGGAGCAGCTACGCCTACGGCGTGGTGGACAGCGGCTACAGGGAGGACATGGCGGTGGAGGAGGCGTACGAGCTGGGCCGCCGGGGCATCGCTCACGCCACACACAGGGACGCCTACTCTGGAGGGGCGGTCAACAGTGAGTACACGCTGGTTTACATCCACCAGCCAACAACACCCGTCCCACGTTGTCTCCGTCACTTCTCTTTGGTCCAGACTGGTGTCTCCACTATTGGACGGGTTGCCGGGACATTTCAGGACTAATTGTGTCCCTTTGGTGATCATGTGACCTTTCATGTGTCAACATCAAAGGGTCAAAATGTCAACTTGTCCTTTCGTTTACGACCAATTACCTCAAAACTAAGAACATTTGCACGTCATTTTTTTGCTCTTTGGAAACATGGAAATTGACGGACTTTCAAGCGAGAATAAAAACATAAATAACAGTGATGATAATTAAATGAAATAACCGAAGGGGAATCCCTCAATCATTATTGATCAGTGAGGTCTGCAGCATTTTGTTCTTTAACTATAAATTAAACTACATCTATTCTTACATAAACTTTCCACAAAGGCCCTTTAATCCTCTCTGTTCATTATTTTTTTTAACAGCAGTTGGAACACAACTTACTTTTATTTTCACTGCAAATTAAGTATTTCCTCGATTCTGTGTCAAGAGCATTTATGGGGCATTTTTGCTTGTAAAATATATTATGTACAACTGACTGAAGGTTTCAACCTAACATGGAAACAGCAACGATCCTCTGTGGTTCCTCAATGTTACAAAATAAATATACTGTAAGTTTCTTTTTTGAAATAAATCTTATAACATGTTGTGTTCAATGATAAAGTAGGTAATATAAGAAATATAAGAAATAAACCTAATTAAACAAAAACATCCTCATGCTGATGAGTCGATCTAGAAACTGAAACGTGTTTGATGTCGTTCTCGTCTCCGTCTCTACTGAGACCTCACAAGAGATGCATCAGAAATACGGGAATAGAGTCATGCAATGTGTGTAGTCATGGTCTGTGGCCACTGGAAACCTCTGTTTCCTTACGTGTGTGTGTGTGTGTGTGTGTGTGTGCAGTGTACCACATGCAGCAGGACGGCTGGATAAAGGTGTGTAAGGACGACGTATCCGAGTTGATCCACCGCTACAGGAAGGGAATGTTCTGAATGCTCAGCACTCTGAACACGACTGATGATGCGTTTCTTCCCAAAAGATTCTTTGTCCACTTTTCTAATAGTGATTTTGGAAATGATCCCACTGACGTCTCACAGCAGAGAAATGCTGTAGAAACGTTTCTTTCCTTACACATGAACCTGAACTCTACAGAACCAAACTGTCTCTAAGCTGCTGAGCTCATTGTTTGCTGTTTGTTCTTAGTGATGTAATGCAGGTTCTGTGTGTGTTGATCCTCACGTGCTTCTGTGTAGTAGTTTGTTCTTTGTTAACCAGACATGCTGTTAAAATACTTTCACCAAAACAACACACAGTCCCAAATAAAGCCAGTTGCTCAGCTCCCTGCTGTCCTGTAATGATTGACATGAACTCACCATGAGGACAAACGAGTCAGGTGGTCACATGTCGATGACAATGAAGATATTTAGATTAAAGGATTTTTATTCTTTCTTTTTCAGTTTTTCAGTCCTTTTACTGTCAACCACGTTATTTCTTTCAAAAAAATCCTGTTGTCCAAGTAACATAAATCTTTTTTCAAATAAATATTAAAGCTATGAAAAATCATTTTAGATGCTTGGTGAGGTGGTGACATCATTTTTGTTTTATTATGGTGTGAAATGTGACTAAAACATACAGAAGTGTCAAATCTTTCCAGAACTAAACCTGTTGGGTGAAATGTTCAAAGCTCTCGTGTTCCTGATAACTGGTGACAGTCTGACTATTAAATACATATTATTATTAAATGAACTGGGTCACATCACTTAAGGCAACTTGTACGTGTATATATTTAGGTTGATTACATATTTATAGTTTAATATATAACAGAACAATGACGTCATAGTGAGAACGGCTGTGATGTCATCTGTTTCCATGCAGAACAGCAACACAAAGCTTTTGATAAATAAAGTATATCGGTCTGTATGAAAAAAGGTTAACCGCCTTAATCTTCACAGGTCTGTGAGGATGTTTCTTTTCTTTCACTTAAGTTCAACTTTAAAGGTCACAGAATTCCAGCAGTAATGAAATAAAGAATATTGTTTACATATAAAATACAGTAGAAAGGCCCTTTAAAGATGTGTTGTTAAATATATTAATGTATAAATGCATTATAGTATTTTATAGTGTAGGTATAACATTCTATAGATACATACATCAATAAGAAGGACAGAGTGTATTTAAAGTAGCAACAGAACTGAAGAATCTCCTGAAGTTATAAAGTCATCAGTTGCCAGGCAGATTCCAGTGAAACAGGTTTGTAAAGAAGAAAACTGACACACACACACACACGATAAACAAACGCAAACAACATGAATCACTTTTATGTCCCATAAGATTTCTTCTTGTATGTGTTTCAACTCTGCTCCTACTTCTAGTGTTCTTTAATAAATGTCCTGTTGAATGATTTTACACACGTGTTGATGAGGACGGTTTTAAACAATGCGTCTCATGTTTTATTGTTTAATAGAAAGTAAAACCCTCTTCAGATATCTGTGAAGAATCACTGCTTTGCCCCTAAAATGTTCACTCTTCTTGCTCTTTTGTTGGACGTCTGCAGGTCAAAGACTCGTCCATTTATCCTCAGAGACAACAGAGAACACTGAATATTCAGATCATTGTAGATACTACGACCACAACATGTGCTGATAAGACGCAGGATTTACAAATGTTATTTTGTTACGATAAAATGATCTCAGGCGATGTGAGTCTTCCATTTGCAGCAACTCCCAGCATGCTTTAAACCAGTGAAGTGAAGAACACGACGTTTAGAGTCCAAAGGGAAACAACATGCATGTGATTGTGGCTGCAGTCACAGAGCGGAAGCACATGGAATCACCACCAACACCACAACTTCTGGAGCATTTATTGAACAAGCAGGACAAAGGTACAAAAAGGGGGAAATGGAGCAACTTCATTCCCCCTTTCATCTACAAAACAAGAAGTGATTCAGAGCATCACTGTTCAACTCCCACGAAACCAAGAAGGAAAACATCCCAAATTTAAATAATATGATACTTTAAAAGTGATCAAAAGACATTATCAAACAATAAACATACAGATTTATTCATAGAACCCTCAAATTATTATTTTCTTCAACCTGTTAAATTCAATCTACTGTAAAGAAAAATACAAGCAAACTATTTACACAATCAGAAAATAAATGTTGTTTTAATGTCCATATTTTGTGTGTGTGTGTGTGTGTGTGTGTGTGTGTGTGTGTGTGTGTGTGTGTGTGTGTGTGTGTGTGTGTGTGTGTGTTGGGGATGGACTCCCTCCCCGTCCACACTGAGAGCTGGAAGCCAGTTTCTCACCAGCATGAGACGCAGACAGACAGACAACCAGCTCACAGAGTGTCTGGATGTCGCTGGTGTGTTTGCAGTGTTTCCTCAGTGATGGAACCCAACGTGTGTGTGTGTGTGTGTGTGTGTGTGTGTGTGTGTGTGTGTGTGTGTGTGACATATTTGTTACCAACAATGATTCAACCCAAACAGCAGAAGTATCAAAGAGTAAATATGGTGGATTTGTTTGAGATGAACACACTAGTCTGTGAGCACTTTGATGCTTTCATTGATTTGAACGTCTCCTAAAATAAACCTCGTTTTATTTCATTTCAACCTATTTATTAAAACCAAACTACCCAAATAATTAAATGTCCCTATTGATGTTTCCTCACAGTTTCCAGATGTTCACCAACCCTGATTCAGACGTTTAAATGAAAGATGAGCCATAAATTGACAGTTTATGGAGAAGAATGTGGAGCATCGCTTGTTGATCCAGAGCAACATTCACCCATAAACCTAAAGAGAGAAACAAATACATAAAAGAGAAAACTAAATCATTTACCACAAACTACTTTGACTCCATTTTGATAAACATGTGTTAGTGAGTTCCTAGAAGTTAATGTAAGAGCTTTGAATATCAGACTTTATCTGAGGAGCTGATGTGAAGCTTTCTGTGTCTTTCTCTTAATAATCTCACGTCTCACGGAACCAAACTGCACCTTTGTTGTAGAAAAAGTCAAAGACTTCTTTACATGAGAAGCTCCTTGTGCTCATACTGAGGGCAGCTTTGTGGAACAGCAGCTGTGAATAGTTCATGTCCACGTGGAGCTACTCACTGTGTGCAGGACGCCGACTTCAAGGTTTAGGATTCAGTTCCTCAGTGACCTCAGAGCCCTCAGTAGAAGCAGAAGAAGAAGAAGAGGGTTTGGCTGAAATAAAAAGCAAAGAGAATTTTAGTGTTCTAACAGCTTCCTCCCAGCAGATACAATCTCAGTTTTTTAACCTATTTCTTCCACTAAAAGCTAAAATTACTTTCAACAACAGCCTGAAGAAACAACTAACTACGTTTAAGTGTCTCAAGTGCAAAACAATCATAGAATTGTCTAAAAGTAAAATGGCACTAAAGAATAAATGCAGAATAAAAGCAAATATGGTTTTATAAGTGTGACTGGTGAAAGTTGCTTCAGTGTCTCATTCTGGATAAAAGCATCAACTCAAAGCCTAAAATCAAATGCTCCTCAACACTGTGTCTCTGATCGTCTCTCTCACCGTTCCTCTTTCTGTGAACCTTGAATCCAACCACAGCAGCGATGATGACGACAAGAACAGCCACAGCGATGATGATGATGATGATGAAGGTGGAGTCAGCAGGCTTCTCTGTGGAGCACAAAACAATCAAAGAGTCTCAAGCTGAACAGATGAAGCAGGTCAGAAGAGAAGAAGATCCACTTATCCAGCAGACCTGAACACACACACCATGTGACGTCATTTCTTTATGCCGTCTGCACATGATGACTGAGACACATATTCAACCTCCTTCCTGAACTTTGCTCTGTCTGATTCACTGATGGATAAATGTATTAATACACGTGTTTAATCATTCTGTCTACTCATCTTTAAGTGACCAGTAGTTGTGTGAATGCAGATTCTACAACGTCTGAATTGTGGTGACACGTTACAATAGTTCAGCACGGACTCAAATAAAGCTCTTACCTGGAATGAGTTTACAAAAGGATGAATAAACTTATTTACAGAGAAATGAACCAAATATTGACACGTTTATATATTAATCTAGACCAGTAAACAGTGTTCATAACCCTCGCTGTGTTTAATTCTGATCCGAGTCTTAAAATGACTACAAATAAAAACTAGGGTAGAAATGTAAGAAAACAAAACTTCCCAAATCTAAATCACGGAAAGTGAACAAAGTGGATGTTTGCTTCCCTCCTTCACCGCTCCGGG